TCTCTATCTCTATCTCTATCTCTATCTCTATCTCTATCTCTATCTCTATCTCTATCTCTACCTCTATCTCTACCTCTATCTCTATCTCTATTTCTTTCTTTCTTTCTTTCTTTCTTTCTTTCTTTTCCGGTATCTCTTATCTCTTTGCAACAGAAAGTTAAGCTCTCTTGCTAGGAGAGAACAAAGACTGACGCTCTTATTCTCATTCTCTCTCCTCTCTCTCTCTCTCTCTCTCTCTCTCTCTCTCCATCCCTCCCTCACACGTACGCACATACACACATACACATTACGCACGTGTCTATATATATATATAACGTAAGTAAGTATAAACGTACACAACATCTCACGGACATCTACACGAAGTACAGGTAAGTAGCGGGGTGTGGTAAAAGTGAAAGAGAGAGAAAAATAGCAGAAGAAAGAGAGAGAGAGAGAGAGAGAGAGAGAGAGAGAAGAAGAAGTCTGTACAATTCCAACAAGCTGTGGTAAAAATAAGGAACACAAGCTGGCTGGCTGGCTGGTTGGTTGGCTGGGTTGGCAGGCAGGCAGGCAGGCAGGCAGGCAACCGAGCTGACAGGAGAGAGTTTGAGGGAGGATAGAAAAGAAGGATGAAAAAGAAGAAGAAAAAGAAGTAGAAGGAGAAGAAGGATAAAAAGAAGAAGAAGATGGGGGAGAAGGAAATGAAGGAAAAAGAGGAGGCTCAAGTTCTCTTCACCTATACTTTTCTCCACAAATCTTACGTCAGTCGTACATATAATATATAACAACAACAAAAACAACAACAATAATAATAATAACAACAACAGCAGTAACAATAGTAAAAGTAACAATAGTAAAATCCAATTTGCTATAGTTTATTTTTTTTTTCTTTTTTCTTTTTATTTTTCGGAAAATAATAAATGTCATCCTTATTGCTTGACGTTCATGTCACTCAAATGGCGTAGGGTGAAAATCTTGAAAATAGTACTCGCTGGAAGGAAGATTTTAACTTTTCATTTTTATATAATAAATATATTTATGTACGGTGTATGAGGCAGCGGATGATAGGATATACGGTTGATTCGTCTAAATGTAGGGAAATAAACGAAATTTTCTCGGTTTTCATCGTCGTCCGCCTCTTCGTCAACCAACCAACCAACCAACCAACCAACCAACCAACCAACCAAACAACCAACCAACCAACCAACCAGCCAACCAACCAACCAACCAACCAACCAACCAACCAACCAACCAACCAACCAACCAACCTCCTCCTCCTCCTCCACTTTCTCCTCCTCCTCCTCCTCTTCCTCCTCGTTCTCGTCGTTCTCGACGTTCTACATAAAAGCAAGATGGCGGTATTCGAGTACACGAAGGATGGGGTGATTGGTCACGAAATCCTTTACTGTAGAATTCGATTGGTCGAATTTATTGAATGGTACGAACACATTCGATGAAAACTAAATCTATATATATATATATATATATATATATATATAAATGTATATATATAGTATATATATATATATATATATGTATAAGCGGATCCAATCGTTCGGAAACATCGAACACGAGGATAGAATTTACGAGAACACGGAAGAGAATCGAAAATAATTCGTTAGAATGGAAACGTAACGAAACGAACGAAACTCGTTTTACAAGCATTTTTTTTTTCTTTTTTCCTTTCAAACTTCCCCTTGCCACGATCACCCCCCTCACCCACTTACCCGCCTATACCCACACTATAATCTCCATCCCTATCTCGTGTTTCTTCCTTTTTTCTTTTCTTTTCTTTTTCTTTTCTTTTCTTTTACAATCTCTCTCCCTCTCTCTCTCTCTCTCTCTCACTCTCTCTCTCTCTCTCTCTCTCTCTTTCGTTTTCTCTTTCTTTCTAAACGTCGTCGTAGATCGATATAAACACAAGGATCGATCTAGTGTGTTTCGTTATCTACGAATAGATATTGAAATCGTCCTGGATAGTTCCGCTTTTCGTAGATACAAATTTTTAATTCTTTTTTCCTTCTTCTTTTTTTATCCTTTTTCTTTTTTCCTTTATTTTTCTTTTCTTTTTTTTTTTTTTTTTTTTTTTTTGCTTTCGTTCCTCTTTTTTCTTTTTAACTTCGTTTCATTTTATTCCATTTGATCTTTCCCTTTTTTGTCATTCTTCTTTTTGTTTTTCTCCTTTTTTCTTTTCTCTTTCCTTTTTCTTGTCAGGACAACGACATGTTACACCTGTAATAGTTAAGCGAGAAAGAACCTTTTCCGAAGGATATAATGGAGTAAAAGAAAAGAAAAGAAATGAAAGAGTGAAAGAGTGAAAGAATGAAAGAAAGAATGAAAGAAAGAAAGAAAGAAAGAATGGAAGAATAAAAGAATGAAAGAAAACAGCGAAACGATAAACGTGGAAAAGCGCTATGATCGCGTTTTGGCTTCTCTGTGGTTTCGTCATATGAAAAGGTATTGCAAACGTTTGCTCGCGATATGTAATGGAAGTGAAGTGCGGTCGATGGAAAATGGAACATAGAAATTCTGTGTAAAAAGAAAGAAAGAAAGAAAGAAAGAAAGAAAGAAAGAAAGAAAAAAAATACATATATCGAATAAAAAAGAATTAGAAAGAGAATGAGAGAGAGAGAGAGAGAGAGATTCATTGAGACAGTAGATGTGCGTATAGAGAGACAAGATTATCAATTATAGCATCGTTTGTGATATGGTATCTAATCAAAGTGACGGAAAAATCTTTTTATTCTATTGTCCTCTTTCATGTCAGGTCTTTCATTAAAAGAATCCTTAGATAATATATTTTTCAAGAAGACTTTTATGATAACAAAAAAAAACATTATAATAATAATAATAATAATAATAATAATAATAATAATAATAGGAATAATATTCTCTTCATAATAAACCAATTAACTATATCAATTTCTTTGAACAGAATCGACCAACTATCGTCGTTATACCTGTAGAACGTAATTTGTCAATAGCCAAAGAGATAATTAAGATATTTTGACATACTGATAAGAACGCATTAACTATTGATATTTGTTTCATACTCAAGAGTAATCTAATGTAACAAATATCGCATGATACTAACTTAACATAGATATGTAAATATAATTTTATCTATTTCGATAGGACCGAGGTAATAATTTATTAAAAAATACAATTAATAATAATAATAATAATAATAATAATAATAATAATAATAATAATAATGATGATGATGATGATGATGATGATGATGATGATGATGATGATGATGATGATGATGATGATGATGATGATGATGATGGTGCAATATATCCACAACTAGCCAAAGACATATTCAAAGGACGGCTCATAGATCAAAAATGCTTTATCATAAAAAAACAATATATTATCTCGTCGTACAACCTAAATCGTTCATAGAGAATACCATACACCGTTCCTGGCTTAATACGCAAACACATAGGAAAAATTCATCATTTTAAAGTCCGTTAAATCCTCCAGAAAAGAACAATAGAAACTTCGTTTTATCTGAAACTTCGTTTTATCTGAAACTTCGTGCGATATTTGTTTATAATGGAAACAAACTGTACAAATAAAAAGAGAAAAAAAGAAAGAAATAAAAAAAATAATAATAATAATAATAATAATAATGAGATTAAAAACAAAAGAAAAAAAAAAGAAGAAGAAGAAGATAGAAGATGATAATAATAATAATAATAATAATAATAATAATAATAGTTATAATAATAATTGAGAAAATAAAAATAATTCTCCTATTTCTTCGATCGAATATTTTTATACATTTTCAATCGATATTTCAAATTTATAATTAGTATTTATAATAAAAGTATCGATACGTAATATAATCGATCAATAATATTACATAGATTATAAAACTATCTAATACGTTGATTTGCATTGATGTATTAGCAAGTATAATAATTCATTGGTATTCGTAAATAAAACCAGATACAAATCCTGATACATAATTACTACTATTTCTATATCGATCGTTTACATTAAACATTGATATTTTATCGAATTATTAATCGAACCAAAAGCAGAATATAATTAGGTACAGAATATAATAAGGTACTTATCGATTTTTGTTTAAAAAAAAAAAAAAAAAAAAAAAGAAAAAGAAAAGAAGGAAAAGAAAAAAAAGAGGTAGATAAGTAAATAAAAAAATAAATATAATGAATATCGATCGAATTTGAGTCTGAGAAAGTTGTGATGGATGTTGTCTAAATATATTTCTTCTTTTTTTCTCGCGGAAAAAAAAGCAAAAGAAAAAGAAAAAAAAGAAAAAAAAAAAAAGAAAAAAGAAAAAAAATAGAATAAGAACAAATCGTGCATAGGAAAAAGCTTCGAAGTAAATGGTCGTTCCCTCGTCGTGGAAGGAGAAGAAAAGAAAAATGAAGAAAAGAAGTGAGAGATAGAGAGAGAGAGAGAGAGAGAGAGAAAAGGAAAAGAAAGAATAAAAAGAAAGGAAAAGTAGGTTCACTTGAGCGAGTTCCGTAAGATATATACGTACTACTTAGTTACTACAGCTATATGGATATAACGATCGACGGGCGCCGAGATGGAAAATCGTTCGGAAAGTGTCTCAAGGAGATCGTGCCATAGCCGAAGGGGTATTACGATCTATGACGACTACGACGACGACTACGACGACGACTACGACGACGACTACCTACGACTAATACTTACGACTACGACAATGGCGTAACCGATCTTGGCGCCAGTTTACGCATATTTCTTTCATTTTCCTCATGGTTTCCCTTCTTTCTTACTTCTACATTCCATTCCTCCTGAGTCCATACGGAGGAACAGTAATCGGTCCACTCTCGTTTACACTTGTCAGATCGTTTAACATATTTTCCTCCTTTTTCTCCATTCTTCTTTTCTTTTTTTTTTTTTTTTTTTTTTTCAGATCTCATAAATACAAGATTAATCTTGCAAAATAATACGCTCGAGAGGGTCTCGATAGAGTAATCGTCCTTTTTTTCTTTTTTTTTTTCGTTCTTTTTTTC